GCTCATCTTCTCTGCCCTGGGAGCCTGGGATGGGAGCGGGGGAGCTTCCTTCCTGGTTCTGGGACCGGCTGAGCTTCTCTACTCTAGGAGCCTGGGATGGCGGCGGGGAGCTTCCTTCCAGGTGCTGGGACCAGCTCACCTTCTCTGCCCTACAAGCCTGGGATGGAGGTGGGGGAGCTTCCTTCTGGGTGCTGGGACCAGCTGAGCTTCTCTGCTCTAGGAGCCTGGGATGGCAGTGGGGGAGCTTCCTTCTAGGTGCTGGGACTGGCTCACCTTCTCTGCCCTGATTGAATGTTATTTTAATCTTTCAAATATTTTATTCTGAATTTTAAAGTTCCTTGAAGAGTTGATTTTATTTACAGCAAATCTTCAAGAGGTGTTCAAAATACATGGTTTAAATTTTAAAAATGTTTAAATTAAAAATGTTTAAATTAAAAAAAATTATTGCAGTAAAAGACAAATTGTTATTAATACTTCTCATTTTGAACATACTTATCGCATTGTTCTTGCCACTTTCTGAGGCAGGCACAGCGGCACTGAGCTAAATCCCTGGCCCATCTTACCACTTTCTGAAACAGTTCTGGAAGTCCACTTTGATGAGTGTCTTTATGAGGTACGTATGATCAAATATCTGGTGAATGCTACAGTTGAGTGCCATCAAAATTAGGAGAATTAAGTAAAATGTATTTGCTAGTTATATACAGTGGTAATGGGAAGCTGGACAATAATTCTCATTAGAATTAAAATTATAGCCTTTAAATATTGAATAAATGAATTAAAGTGTCATTTTTATTAATTTTATTATTTTACTGCGTTTGATTTACTCAGTCCATAGACAAAAAGACATGTTGACTAAATACAGTGCAATTGCTATAGCCTGTGGGCCTCTTGCATCATTTACCTGGCTGTTGATCAGTTTCATGGCTCCGATGCTCCTCCTGGTTCTTCTATATCTAAGGATCTCCTCCTTTCTGCTTCTTCATCCTGCCCTAAGAATTCTTCTTGGGATGGTGGCCCTCTTTCATTTGATGTTGTTTGCAAGTAGTCTGTGTCTGCTAATGGCCTCTGGCCCTGAGATGTGCTTATCTCGTTGGGTTCATAGCTTGCTGTGAGATCTTTCATTGTTCCGGGAATATCAGGCCCATCTTCCCATTTGGAAGGTGGGTGTGTATCCTTACGCTTGTAAACATTCAGTCTCTTTTCAACCACTTCACGAATCAACACTGTAAAGTGCAAAAGTCATTATGATTTTTCATTTTTTAGATAAGTTATAGATGAATATAAAATATTCACCAGGCCTCTCCCTTTCCCATACCATAATCTTTTATAAAGTCATCATATTTAACTTCTGTAGCAATTAATGCATTGACTGTAGGTCACATTCTCTGCCTGTTTTAACAGAATATCATTTATAAAGTAATGACAGAGATATTAATATTGATAAAATTATAGAAAATAAAAAATAATATTGAGGGTAAAAATTTGTATCTGTATTAATATAACTGATAGACTGAAAGTTTAAGTATTAAAACTGTAAAATTAATCTTTCTTCAATTTATTCCTTCTATAGAAAAGTTTAGAGATGACTTTTAAATAAAATATAAGAACTTACTGTCAAGCACTGTTCTTCCTACTATGCTGTAATCTATGGCTTTTTCAACTTCATTCATTAGCCATGGAAGAAATCCTATCTCAATATCTGTAATAAAAAAATTTCACTGAGTCATTTTTTTTTTAAAGACAGGGTCTCACTATGTAGTTCAGGCTAGCTTTGAACTCACTATGTAGCTCAGGCTGGCTTTGAACTCACAGCGATCCTCTTGCCTCAGTCTCTTGAGTGTTGGGATTACAGGCTTGTACCACCACACCCAGCTAAATTTTTCTTTTTTTTTGGTACTGGGGATCAAACTTGGGTCCTTGTGCTTGCACAGCAGGTGGTAAAACCACTTAGCTAAATCCCCGGCCCTCAGCTAAATTATTTTTATTAATCATTTTAAAGCAGAAGAGGGTGCTTTGCCCCCAGTATAACAGATTCATCTGTATTGTTTTTTCCAATACAAAATGTTAAGTAGACTCATATAGTATAACAAATGCCATATTCTGTATGTCCTGGTCAAATTCCTTTCTATTGCAATAGAAATATTCTCAAAATTATGAGGCCTTCCTTGGAGTCAAGGATGTCAGAATTGGCTTCATAGTACAATCTGAAACAGATTGTGGAGGCAGAAGGAAGACATGGATCTGGGAGAATTCCAAGGAAATATGATATAGAAATACTGAAATTGAGCATTACCAGTACAAAGAATGCCCTCATCAGGGCCTAATGGAAGCTAATGGGATTCAGAAGATGCAGATTGGATGCAGGCCAAGGGCATTCAAGAAGGTGGCTTTCATGAAACGGGTTAGAAACTAGGTGTTTCCATTAGTAAAGAGTTTGCTCTATCTGAAATGGAAATCTATTGTGGAAGCATTTAAAACATATGGTCTATTATGATATAACACTGTAAGTTTCAAAATAGCTTTTTCAGGGGAAAGAATCTCATTGTTATTTTTTAATATGATAACAATGGAGCAGATGATAAAATATTATGTTTGTTATTATAAATATTTTAGTCTCAGGCATGAATTTCATTTGCAAAAATTTAAATAAACCATAATAGAAAAAAAGTTAATGATCCCTGTGACTAGCAGTAAGAGGCCTAACTAGAAAATAAGACAGTGTGGTAGCACAGAAAGAAGAGTGGGCTTGGACTAACACTTCTGCTGACTATTTGGGAGCAAGGCTTTAACTTCTCTGTGCTTCACTTCGTACTTCTGAAAAATGTGAAATATATCTGCCCTGTCTACCCCACAGGGTTACTGGGAGGATCAAATGATATCACTTATGAAAAACACTACATAAATTGGAAAGTCTGATATAAATGTAAATTAATGACATTGGTTTATAATCTCAACTCCGTGTATGGAATTGAATATGTAACCGGTGAAGATTGACATTACTAACATCTACCTCAAAATACTGTTAGCCAATGAGGCAGGACTTGGATACAAAGCACTGGAAATGTAAATGCTATCTACATTAAGGATGGTGGCAGAGAAAACATGTTCACTTCTTTTCCTTCACTTGGCTAGATTGGCTAGAAGAGTGGGCTTTGAAGGGAGGCTAATAAATGGCTATCAGGCTGTGGGCTACATCAGGGTGCCTAACTCAGTGCCTGGAATAGTCTAAGTATCTAATTAAATGGATCAATGATCTCAGCATCTGTCCTCAAAGGGTTTTAGATTGAACAGAAAGTCAGCTGAGAAAAGTTATAACAACTATTACACAAGCACAGTACTTTTTACATATAGAGGACTTTGTTTATACAAAGTTTCATATACTGTAAGATTTCATTTCACACATGAGGAAACTGGAGGTCCAAAGTTAGTTAATAATGAAGTCAGGATCAAACCTTATGTTTTTGACATAATGTTCATATTTCTTTCTACTATCCAATGTTGTATGTCTCAATAAGAAATGCTAACATTTTAAAATCAAGATCTTTATGATATACCTCTTCAGGAATTTGTAATTTTAGTTTTTTAATAATACATATTTATAGAGTACTATAATATACCTCTTCTTAGTAACAGTAGTTATTTAAAACAAATACAATTAATTTTAGTTTCAGAAATAGAAAGATTCTAATTCAAAATAAAGATGGGCAAGAAAGAAATTTGAACCATTATAAGGATGCTTATTATAATAGAGTTAAACTAACAAAAATCTCCACAAACCTCTTTTAATGGGATCATAAAAGTAGCCACTATCTCTGAGACTGCTAAAAACAGATGGGAGAAGGTCAGCCAGGTAACGCTGTGCAAAGGCACAGGCAGCTACCTTCTGTGCTGTCTCATTTTGCTTGTGTACTATATCCCACTGCTGCCGCTTACGACGTTCCTGCCAAGAGTAAAACATTATTGTGGACAGTTATTCAAGTAGTATGTTTTCCTCAGATCCCGACTCTAGTGAAGTACATAAGTCAAAATATTTGGACTTATCAGAAAAAAAAAAAAAAGGACAGCAAAGCGTCTATAAAGCATTCATAGTTTTCATCAAGATTTTGAAGAGTTACAACTACTGGGTACTAAACTCAGAAAGATATAAAAGCTGGAGCTTGATCTGGGATTAGAGCATTTGCCTAGCATTTACGAATGGGTTGAATTGTGCCCCTGCAAAAGAAACAAAACAAAATGAAACAATGGAACTTAATTTAAAACTGATTTCCAACTCATTTTCAGGGAAAATAACTTCAAAATATATATGCTTGTTTGAATGCTATCAAAAGCATAATGATAGTTATTTACAGTTGGTTATACATCTTCAATTAAAGAACTTAAAGCAAAGATCTAAATGAGAGTTCTGACAAATACTAAAGGTTTTTTTCTAACAGATTTTCAAAGATCTTTAGCTTTATGACATACCACGTGTAATTTTAAACATAATATACATAAAGTACCCAAAAGACTAAAGAGGGGTAGAGGACATGGCTTAGTGGTAGAGGATGTGAATGGCATGTGAAGACACTGGGGTTCAATCTTAGGAACAACAACAACAACAACAATAACAACAACAACAACAACAAAAAGTATAAGACTGCCTCAGAAAGAAAAACAGAATTCATAGACTCAATACTTTTTCTTCTTGGTGTCGTCTCTTTTGCTCTTCCAGTCGCTGGACTTCAGCCAATTCAACATTTCGCATTTCTTCATAGGCACACTGGCGGGCCTGCAGGTTGGCCAGCTCTTCTTCTTCCATCACTTCCAGTAGGGACTGCTCAATTGTTTTGCCCACCAAAACTTCTAACATTGGTTTAACTTCAAGATCAAAGTCAAAGAGCTAAACAGACAAGAGAAAGCAACATTTTAATCATGAACTAAATGCATATAAAATTGTGAAGAATAGCAATAGCATTATTGTCCCAGTTACTGAGGAGGCTGAGGCAAGAGGATTGCAAATTCTGGTTAGTCTGGGGAACACAGTGAGACCCTGTCTCAAAATAAAAAACAAAAACTTAAAAGGGTGGGGATGTGGCTCAGTGCAAGGCCCTGGGTTCAAGTTTTACAAAAGAAGAAGAAGAAGGAGGAGAAGGAGAAGGAGGAAAAGAAGGAGAAGGAGGAGAGGAAGATGAAGAGGAGGAAGAGGAAGAGGAGGAAGAAGAGGAAGAAGAAGAGGAAGAAGAGGATGAAGAGGAGGAAGAAGAGGAAGAAGAAAAAGTAGAAGAGGACAGGGAGGGGGAGAGGAGAAGGGGAATAGTAATAATAGGGTATTATAATAAATGTTGTCTATGTGCCAAACACTGTACTGGTACTTGGTTTCTAATTCTTGAAACAACTCTGCAAGGTACACAAAACAGCATTTTATTTATAGGTAAAAATCTATTAAGTCAAAGTTATGAAAATGAAACCCCATGCATTTATCAACATGGACCTTGATACTCAACAATTTTAAGATCAAACTTTAAAACCAAAGGAAAATATCATTGTCTTACTCTTTGCCTTTCCTACTTGATTTCTTATAGGCTGTTTTTAAAATAACAGTGTGATGAACTAGAGAAGAATAATGGATATTTTAGCTGGGTATAATAGAGTATATCTGTAATCCCAGCTACTTGGGGGACTGAGGAAAGAGAATCTCAAGCTCGAGGCCAGCCTGAGCAACTTAGTGAGACCCTGTCTCATCAAAAACAAAACAAAACAAAACAAAACAGAAAGAAAGAAAAGAAGAATAAAAGGGTGGGGATGTAGCTCAGTGGTGGAGTACCCCTGGGTTCAATCCCCAGTACCACATATATATAATGGATATTTTAAGCGACTTTTGTCTAGGGTTTAGAAGTAAATATGTAGCTTCTGAAAACTTATTTTATTCCCCAATTTCAATGACAATCATTCTAAGTTCCTTCAAGTTTTAGATCTTACTTAGGTCATTATGCATATAATCAATGTCTTCTTTAATTTAATAAATTTGTCTATTTATACATTCCACATTGATAGGAAAATATAATAAAGATTTAAAAACAGAGATAGTATCTTTATAAAAGTAATGTAACCCATAAACAACCTATACTATATAGATCTAGCCACCTCCAAAAAGCCCCACCTATGACTATACTTAAACATTTAAGTACATAAAATATATAAATATTCTAAAAATATTTCCAATAATTTATTTTTTGCAAACAAAGAGGAAATATCAGAACATGTTATTTAAAAACATTTTTGGGTACTATAGGATAAAACTATTAAAAATAACATTTCGAAAAAAATCCAAAAACTAGAATTTTTCTGATTTTGAAGTGGTTCTTGCCTATATTAAGCTTTACCTAAATCCAACTTTACCTCATTTATAAAGATAGAGGGAAGTCAAAGGAATATACTTACCTCTCCTTCTAGTATTTCAGTGGCCACATCTTTGTTAGTTTTGGCAGGAATAAAAAGTGGTGTTGGTGGTCTGTCCAGAAATGCATCTGTTTGGCATTCCATATCAACTTCTATTACTCGGTCAGCAATTTCTTCAAGGTATAATTCTAAAGAATAATGTCATAGACACTGAGTTTGACATTCTGGTCTACTTCAAACATATTTGTATTTGAAATTTCAGCTCTTTCAAAATAGAATTAAATGAATCAGAAAATAAGTCCAAGAATACAATGGACCCTTGACTTATGACCAGCCTGATATATGAACAACTTGGATTATGCCCTGAATTTTAGTTTTAGCTTATGACCAAAGTCTTGAGTTACAACTTGAATGCTGGCTACTTGTGCTTCCAGATGGTCTTGGATACAGATTTAACCCTTAAAGAGTTCTAGAAGGAACATTACAACATCCTTTCCTGTATGGGATTAATTGAGAAATCCTGGGCCAATGTCTCTCTAAGGACACTGAGATCTGCCTGTATATAGGTGAGAGACTTTAAAGGTGGTATAGAAGAGCCTGAGCCTACAACTGACCAACCTGAGCTACAACCAGCCCTCAAAAATGAATTGAGTTCATAAGTCAAGGGTCCACTGTAACTGTGGTTGAATATGGGGTTAAATTCATCTCCTGAGTTAAGAGTTTCACATATTTGAAAGATCATAGAGTCAGTCTGGTTAGAAAATTTACTGAATGTCTAGAAATTACTGAGCTTTGCATTAGAAAACAATGAAAGAAGAACATGAGGATGTGAGGGAAATCTGGCTGCAACATCTGTCACCACACTGATTGCCAGGATTGATTTGGCTGATCTGGCTGGCTAGGCCAGCCACCTTCCTCCTTTACCACTCCACATGTATCCCTTCCAAAGTTTCATGCTCAGTGGAAGAGGACAACCACCCACAATAGAGGAAGACCATTTCCTTGGTCAAGGGTATATGAGTAGATATGATCCCCTGCAACCACCCCTGATAGAGGAGAACCATTTCCTTGGCCAAGGGTATATGAGTAGATGTGCTCCCCTGCTAGAACCTCCAAACAAGCTCTCACAGAAGAATATGAGACTGTAGGTGTGTATATAGGATGCAAAGGGTAATAGGCAATTACAAATTAATGATACATATATGTAATTGAGCCATAAGAGACTAAATGTATAAAGATTTGATAACCCTGGATTAATTAAAAAATTCATACAACATGTCATGATGTTATTTGATGTTCACTCTATTCTACAGATTATAAACAGCTGTATGAAAACAAATTTTACATTAGGAATGACTTATGTGAAGCAGGGGTGATGTGGTATCATGTGATGCACAGGAGTGCTGGAGTCAGATGTCAAACACAGGACCCAGGCAAGATACATCCTCTCTGGGCCTCAGTTTCTTCATGTATAAAAGGGATTACAATAACTTGTGGTATGGAGTCTTTGCCATAATAGATAAGGTACAGAGGCAAAGGACTTGATATAATCTCTGAGGAAATACCCAAGCAAAAAGTAGTTACCATATCACTTAATATTCTGATGATATAAACCACAGAATGGTTCTCTTCCTTTCATCTTTACTACAAAAATAACCCTGATGAATCTGATCATGATCTTGGCAGGGTACAAGGGGAATCTTAAGAAGTTATATTAGTTAAAGTAAAATATCAAGTATTGTCACATTACCAAGAATTTGGTCAACAACACAGCCAAATCCTATAGGTCCAGGTAAGTCTCGAAAAAAGAACAGTGAGACAAGTAGAAAGTCCTGGCACCTGCCTCAGAAGCACCTGTGTGTCCTTAAGGACCATGCAAATTGAAAGGAGAACAAAAGAGGCTGGTATGAAAGGTGGATGACTCATCTACCAGTGGGTTTACTCCTCTCAAAAGACAAATAAAAGCCAAAACAGAATACATTGTTCTCCTCTCCTGGAAATCCCAATGAAAAGAACATTGTTTTGAGAATGAGGAAAAAAGGCACTCTTCTACATTGTTAGTGGGAATGTAAACTGGTACAATACTATGGAGATCAGTATAGAGATTCCTCAAAATATTAAAGCTAGAAATTCTACTTAGTTATTTCCCTTTTATATATCTTTTCAAAAAGAGTTAAAGTCATCATCTTACAGTGATACATACATATATATTGACTTTGTTACTTTTCTTGTTGCTGAGACAAAATGTCCAACACCTACAAGTTAAGGGAGGAAAGGTTTATTTAGCCCACAGTTTGTAGACGTTTCTGTTCATTGCTGGCTGCAAGGCATGGAGAGGGACACTGCAGAGCAGACAGGCAGAAGGCAGCAAGTAGCAAGTGACAAGCAAACAGCAATGAACACAGCAGCTCTTTCTGTCCCTTATATCATATCCAGGCTACCGTTAGGGCAGGTAGCACTCATATCCTTAACCCTAGCATTGGTGAATCAGTCCCAGCAACACATTCTTGATCCCAGTAGCACACACCTGAGATCTAGTCACCTCCAAAAAGCCCCACCTATGACTGCACAAGGCTTTGGGGGGACATCTAGATACAAGCCATAACATCCATGTTTATAGCAGCATAATTCATAATAGCTTAATCTTGTAAGCAGCCTACATGTCTATCAACAGATGAATGGATTAGGAAAATGTGGTATTTATATATAATGGAATAATACTCTGCCATGAAGAAGGGCAAATGTGAGTCATTTGTAGGAAAATATATGCACCTTGCTAATGTTAAGTGAAATAAATTAGACACAGAAGCTCAAATATCAGATAACTTCTCTTATAAAATACACCTGAAGTACTTTTAACACCCACCCCCCCACCAAGAAAAACCAATAAGAAACAGGTAGATAGATCTTTTGCAAATGGAAAGGGAATCTAGAGATGGTGGGGGGTGGGGTGGAGAGGAAGGGGAATAAAAAAGAATTAAGACATCTTAAATACATGTACATAGTCCCTAAGATGAATATAAACATTGCATACTACAAGCACGTGGTAATAGAAAAAAAGAAAAAGAAAAGAACACTGATTCATACAGGGCTGCAACAAACAATCCTGGTTTGAAATAGTGTATGTGAAAAGGGTGAAGAAAGAATTAATTTGGTCCTAAAACTCTTATTTTAACCCCAACTCACATTTCCAGCTATCTCCAATATAATAATAATATATAGTTTGTGTATTTGTTTCAGGAATGAATTTCCCTGTTGTGGGACTGGGGAGGACTGGAGAGCACTAGAGATATATAAATAACATCAAAGCTTATTAAAAATGAACAGACACAGACAACTAAGTAATCCCATGAGGCACATGGCCAATGGCATAATCACACACCTGTCTGCACATCCACATGCTTCCTCCCTTCTACAGGTTCTGGTGTCCGTGGTTTAAACTGATCTTGAGCTTGTTTTTTGGCAAGAGCCTTCTTCTTAGCCTGCTGCTGTCTCTGAAGGTCTACAGGATCAGGCTGCCCAGGCTGAGGGGGACAGAAAAGGTTTCTAATATGTCTCAAAGTATGTAAGAACTGCTATTCCACAGCGAATCCTGGACAGTAGTAAAGCATATGCTATAAGAATGCTTCTTGATTATCAGTGACTTGATGGTTAAAATTTTATTGGAACTTTGTCAGGTAATATGCAGGTGTCTGAGAAAGCATAAATGTTACTTTAAGTATGCCAGTGACTGGGGGAAATGGGTGCAGAATCCCATCCAATTACACGCTTTGCTCACTCAAGCGTTTTTGCCATCAAATCCTCTGGTTCCTAGTAAAACTGACATAACTATTCTGTTACAATAAACTTTAATGAATACTTAAGAAATTGAAAAGTAGGATTTTCAAAATCTGAATTTCATCTGAATAGAATTTCTTTAAAAAATGTATTAGCTCAGAGAAAACATTCTGAAAAAGAAGCCTCTCCAAGGCTTCTTATTAAAAAAATAAGCTGACTAAGGGGTTGTAAATATAATTGTTCACAGCAGTTCTGCAGAATTTGGAGGTTCTATTTGATATCTGTATCTTATTTTGTAGCCATTCTCTATAGCATGCTTGTCTTATCTCAAGGTAAATTGAAAAGAGAAGTGTGAAAATATTTCACATGAACAAACACTTAAAAAGTAGAATTCTAAACACATTTTAATTGAAGTGACAATGTAGTAATGTTAACACTTTTTAAAATAAAGAAACTATGATCCCATATCATTTAAATGCAGTGCTTTTGAAGCTGTGTGATACCATACATGCTTTATATTATTGTTCTAATTTATCTATCAAACTTTTCCCCATGTTTGCATTATACACAGTAAATGAGAGCACTATCTCTGAAATTCAAATTCCAGCTTCTCAATTTATTAATTACTAGGATTAGTAAAGCTTCAACTAACAACCAAAGTTATTTTAGACAGTTTTCTCATCTGCACAATGAGAATACTAAATCTACCTAAGGTTTTGGTTATAAGAAACAAATCAGATAACAGTGTAATGAGCTTAACACAATATCTGACATAGAGCAGTTCTTCCCTACATCATTATCATATCTTTTCATTATAAAATAGTAAAACCACATGACAGAAAAGAAAAAGAACTGCTCATAATTCAGTTTTTCTAATATAATTGTTAGTATCATTTTGGGATCATTCAGTGAAGACTTCTTTGTGTATTCATTCTATACTATTATTAATACTGTTCTTATTAATTTTCATTTTCTTCATAGGATAGAATTATAAATCTCAGTTCTCAAAAGAGTAGGGAGTTAAATACGAGAAGTTCATTTTAGAAATATATTGGCCAGGGCTGGAGATTTAGCTCAGTGGTTCCAGCGCCTGCCTCGAAAGTGTAAGGTCCTGAGTTTGATCCCTGGTACCAAAAAAAAAAAAAAAAAAAAATATTGGCCAGTCAAACTGTTTCCTGGTCTAGTTAAAATACCTTTAAAAAGGTTCTGTTTTGGAATAACTCACAGGAGGTTACAAAAATAGAGGAGTTCTGTGTACCCTTCATCTGGCTCCCCCAATGTTGACATATTATCTAATATAGCACAATACCAAAGTGAAGAAATAAATATGGGGAAAATATTGTGAACAGACCTCATTTGGTTTTCACAATTGTAACCTGCATCGATTAGTATCTGTGTCTCTATATGTGGTTGTCTGTGATTTTACTCCATATGTAGACTCATGAAACCACTCCCGCAGTCAAGATACAGACCTGACCCATCACGGCAAAGGTGCTCCCTTCGGTGTCTTTTATGTTTGCTTCCAAGTCCCATCCCCACCCCTGCCCCCTTGGCAGCCACTATTGTGTTCTCCTTCTCTACAGTTATTTAAAAAATATTTTTGTTTTTCATCGACACATAGTAATTGTGCATATTTATGGAGCATAGGGTGATATGTCACTACATTTATGTAATTTCTAATGATCAGATCAGAGTAATTGGTGCATCTACCTTTTTTTGGTATTGGGAACATTCAATCCTACATAACGATGCCTCCATAAAACACAAAGGGACAGGATTCAGATGGGTTTACTGATAGCTGAACTCGTGGAGGTACCTGGAGGGTGGCCCACAGAAGGCAGCCTCTTCACCCCTTTCCATATACCTTGCCCTCTCTATCACTTCCATCACTGTTCATCTATATCTCTTGTAATATTTTTATAATGTCCGGCCACACTGAGGGGTGGGAGCGGAGGAGGCCACCGCAGCGGAGGTAGCGGCCTGGAGTCAGTGGCCGGCTGGACTCTCGGAGAGCCGCGGCTGAGGAGAAAAATGGCGGAGGCTTCCGCAGCTGAGGAGGATGCGAAGGAGGAAGTTCTAGCCGCCCACCGGTTTATCTGCCACTTTTGCAAGGGCGAGGTCAGCCCCAAACTACCGGAATGTATATGTCCCAGATGTGAATCGGGGTTTACTGAAGAAGTGACAGATGATTCCAGTTTTTTAGGTGGTGGCGGCAGCCGGATAGACAATAGTACTTCAACACATTTTGCAGAGCTGTGGGACCATTTAGATCAAACGATGTTTTTCCAAGAATTTAGACCATTTCTAAGTAGCAAGCCACTGGACCAAGATAATAGAGCCAATGACAGGGGTCACCAAACTCGCACTGACTTCTGGGGACCAAGTCGGCCTCCAAGGCTGCCAATGACTCAGAGACACAGGTCTCGAGGAAGTACTCGTCCTGACAGATCTCCAGCTATTGAAGGAACAATACAACAGATCTTTGCAGGATTCTTTGCAAATTCTGCAATTCCTGGATCCTCACATCCTTTTTCTTGGAGCGGGATGCTGCACTCCAACCCTGGGGACTATGCCTGGGGTCAGACAGGGCTTGATGCCATTGTAACCCAGCTTTTAGGACAACTGGAAAACACAGGGCCTCCCCTAGCTGACAAGGAAAAGATCACTTCTTTTCCAACAGTGACAGTAACTCAGGAACAAGTTGATACGGGTTTAGAATGTCCAGTATGTAAAGATGATTACACAGTTGAAGAGGAAGTCTGGCAGTTACCCTGCAATCACTTCTTTCACAGCAGTTATACTGTGCCATGGTTAGAACTGCATGACACATGTTCTGTATGTAGGAAGAGCTTAAATGGTGAGGACTCCACTTGGCAAACCCAGAGCTCTGGGGCTTCTGCAAGCAACAGATTTAGCAACAATAGCCAGCTACATGACTGATGGACTTTCTGAAACTAAAGACCACACCTGAACCAGGGCTGTCAGAAATAGTCTTCTTACCATAGATGTAAACTGTATCAAAACAAAAAAACAGTAGATGGATTTAGGAATCACATAAGAAACCCCAATCCATAATATTAATGCAATGAGTGTTTTCTTCTCTAAATTTAAAGTTAGTATCTATAAAAGGAATTGTATTTACAGCCAGATCCCTCTTATTCCTGAATTCAGTGTGGTAATTTTATAAGTATGAAACTTAAGTACATTATGTGGGTTTTCCCCTGTCTGAATAGAATGAGTTCCTTGAAGTCTTGCTAGGGTCCTGCTGTATGTCATGTTGCCTGGAGATGGATGTTTCTACTTCCTTCTCCAACCTCTGTCTCATCATTAGTGTATTTAAATTACAGTAAATGCAGGGGAACCAGAGCCCTAAAATCCTGATGATATAAAGTCCTTTTATCTTAAAAAAAATATATATATATTTTTATAATGTAATGGAAAATGTAAGAAAGTGTTTCCATGAGTTCTAAGTGGGTCTAACAAATCAACTTAAATCAAGGAGAGCGTCATGGGAACCCTAAATTACAGCAGTTGGTCAGAAGCATAGGTCACAAACTGCTTGCAAATGGCATTTGAAGCGGGGGAGCTTGTCTTGTGGACTGAGCCCCTAACTTGTGGGATCTGATGCTATCTCCAGAGAGAAAGCTTTAGAATTGAATTGAATTAGAGGATACTTAGTGGATGTCCACTGAGGAAGCTAAATAATTACTTGTTAATGTGTAGGGGAAAAACCTCTGCATACCTGAGTTCGATCCCCAGTACCAAAAAAAAAAAAGAAGACCCAACAAAACAAAACAAAACTAAACCTCTGCATACTCGGGGTCACAGAGGGGAAATATTTGTGTTTGGTGTGACAGTGGACAGCAGTTAAAAAAACACTTTTGGTTTCATCTGTCTCTTTAGTAGTATCACATTATTATTCTTTTCATGTTTTCCTGGCTACAGAGCCTATAGTTATATCCCCTGATATTCATTCCTGTTACTTGTAATTTATGTCTTCTCTCTTTCTTTTTACCAGTATTGCTAGCGGTTTATCAATCTCATTTATCTGTTCAGAGAACCAATACTACTTTTTTCCTTATTTCCTTCCTTCAGTCTGCCCTGGGTTTGCTTTGCTCTCAATTATCCTGTTCGTTGAGGTAGGATCTTAGGTTATTGATTTGAGGCCTTTCCTTTTTTCCCTCCTTAACTACATCCCACAAATTTTGATATGTTGTCCTCTTTGATCTATGAATTATTTAGATATGTGTTGTTTAATTTCCCAGTGTATTAACATCTTCCTGTCATCTTGTTATTGGTTTCTAGTCATTCTGTTATTATCAGAGAACCACACTCTATATGATTTCAATTCTTTTAAATGTATTTAGATTTGTTCTATGACCTAGGAAATGGTCTATCTAGAACACTCCTCCTGACAGCTATGATATGTTGGTTGATGAGGATATATCTATATCTATATATGTATATATATATATATATACTTTGGTCTAAGGGATGGATGTTGAAATCGTTAACTAAAATTGTGGATTTGTTATGTCTTTCTTTTAGTTCTATTAGATTTTGCTTCATGTACTTAGAAACTCTCTTGTTTGGGACCTGGGAATTTAGGATTGCTGTATCTTTTTGACATATTGTGACCCTTGTTTTTTTTTTTTTTTGGTACCACGGATCGAACTCCGGTCCTTGCGCTTGCGCAGCAGGTGGTGAAACCACTTAGCTAAATCCCCGGCCAATGACCCTTTTATCATCATGTAACATTTCTCTTGTGGTCACAGTCTTATCCTCTGAAATCTACTTTATATTAATATAGCCAAAATGACTTTAAAAAATTGTTTGCATGGTATACCTTCTTCCATCCTTTTACCTTCAATTTACCTATAGTATTGTAATTGAAATGATTTCCTTACAGACAATATATAGTTGAGTTATAGTTATTATTATTATATTATTGTTATTATTGTTATATCTGGGAGCTACTTTTATGTGCTTTATGTAGAAGATCATTTACTTTTAATTATTTGTATGTTAGGGCTTAGTCTGCCATTTTTTGTTTTCTGTTTTTCTTCCTCTTTTTCATTTCTGTTTTCTTTCTCCTGCCTTCCTGTGGGTATAGTGAATGCCTGTGATTTTATGTTGCCCTGGGATAGTTTTAAATGTAAGTTCAAATTCCTTATACCTGAAGCCAGGCTCAGGCACCCTTGACATAGTTTCCAATGCCTCCCTCTTCTGGGTTAGCATTAGGGTTTAACAGTCTTGCTTTTAGGACTGGCCTCATGGTTCAGGTGAGAAATCTGCTGTCATTCAAATCATTGGTCTTCCTCAGTTAACATGTCATTTCTATCCAGTTCCTTTAAAGATCTTTTTGCTTTTAGTTTTCTGAACTTTGATTCTGATGTGGCTTGGAATGGCTTTCTTTGGGTTTATCTTTGGGGTTCACTTAGCTTCTTTAACATGTAGATCTCTCATCACATATGTGAAAATTTCAGGCAGTATTTCTTCAAATATTTTTTCCATCCCATAGTTTCTCCTGTTCTTCTGGGATTCCAATAACATGAATGCAGATCCTTTGTTACTGTTCTTTAGCTCCCCCTAAGGCTGTCTGTGTCTTCCCTACCCTTTTTCTCTCATTTGTTTTCTCTCTAGGGATTGAAGCACTGACCAATCACTACTTCATTCAACCTTGGTCCTCCTTGTCACTACCGGACAGAACTCAAAATTCAGGTCCCTGCTGGCTTTGTTGACACCACCAGAAAAAGTGGGGCACTGACTCCTGCCATTTCTTACTACCTTACTGCCCATGGGTGAGAGTAGTTCAGCTTCCCACTCCACCTTTGTTGATGCCACCTCAAGGAGGAAGCAGAAGGCTGATTTGCACTGCTTTGTTGCTGCCAGGTGGGGATGGAAGTGCAGCCTCTTATTTCCCTCACTGACACTAGGGGGAGGAGCAGCTCAGTTTTTCCATTACTGTTTGGCTGGAGTAGGGGTAGTGTTATCAAAAGTATTTTCTGGTCTTCAAGGCTGCCACTTTCCTAGTCCTTGGCAAGAGGGAGCAGGCTTTTCTTGGGGTTGTTCTTATCAGTGGTTTAAGATTGTAGGCTTCTCTGGAGGCCTAAACAGAATAGGCAGGAGGCAAAAACAAAACCCAGGGACTCATCACTGTGCCATTCCTTAAATTCCAAAGTCTCTTGTTTGCTTTCTTCTCTGCACCTTTCAAGTCCTATGCTTGTTCTGTTATTCAACCATTTTGTTTGTTTGTTTTTTGGTTGTAAGAGGGAAGGAATGTGTGAATTCCTGTTTATATGGAACTGGAATCTCAGTGCAGACTTTTAAGGTAAGGTGCTGATTAATTAACTAAAAAAGTGAGGGCTGGGGATTTAGCTCAGTGGTTCCGCTGCCTGCCTCGCAAGTGCAAGGTCCTGAGTTTGATCCCCCATACCACAAAGAAAAAAAAAGAATATGATTCTTCTTTTCACTTTTGTTCTAAGTATGTCAGTACTAATAAAAGAAATGCTGAAACATATATCCAGATCCCATATTTCCTCTGACCCTGATCTTGTTGTACCAGAATTGTTTAGAGAAGTTTATTAAAAGTTCATATTCCTGTGTCCTAACACTAAAGGTTCTAATGCAGGAGATGCAGAATTGGGCTGAACCTTATATGTTTTTAATGTTTTCGCAGTGATTCTGTTGCAGAGTCAGCTGTGGGAGGTACTGCTTCAGACTAACACTCCATATATGACCATCTTGTGCTAGGTACTTACATGTCATATACTGCTTATAGATTAACTATGTTTCATTTCTGTGCCAATAAATCACTAACCTTAATCTGATACTTTTATCATTTTAAAATATACAAATCAGTGGCATTAAGTACATTCACATTGTTCTTTGGTTATAGAACCACCATCCACTCCAGAACTGAAACTGTATGCCTATTAAACAATATCCCCTGCCCCCTCAAGCCACTGGCAAGCACACTGGATATATATATTATATATATAATATGTAATATATATATAAGCACACTGGATATATATATTATATATATAATATGTAATATATATATAAGCACACTGGATATATATATATAATATATTATATATATATATTTCCACTACTTCATGATGCTGGGGATTAAACCCAGGGTCTTATGCATACTATGCAAGTACTGTACCACTGAGATACATCTACAGTCCCTGCTTATCTTTTAAAATTTAATTTTATAGTAATTCTTCTTTACTTCATTTTATTGATGTTTTAGTGTGCAATAGGTCCAAAATTAACACAAATACACAAACTGATGCTTCCCCATAGACAGTGAGAGAGCTCTGTGTTAGACTACTCAAATCGTGCTTACCAGCAGCCCTGTCTGTAGCGCGTATGTGTTGCCTCGGATCACCCGTCTGTCATACATTATGTTTCCATAACGCATAGGTTCTTCATGTCTGTAAAATAGCAAGTTCTAAGTAAATATTTTAACTATGGTATCTATGGTATCTCTGAAACAAACTCTTTTCTAATACGATTTAGACTAAGATAAATTATTTTAAGAGAATAGATTTCTGTTTTAGTGTTGTCCATAAAATGAGAAAAACAGCTATCATTTGTGTAATGCTTACTGTATGCCAGGCTCTTTCATGTACATTACTTAATTTGTTGCTCACAATAAGCTTCAATTTGGGAACCATAATTCCTATTTGACACACGAGAAAATAGACTCAAAGTCATCTTGGTAGTAAGTGGCAGAGCTGGGTTTAGGTTGTAAATCTGTAAAAGTGCTTAAGGAATCTGACCTAAAGGACTGAAAAAAATCTTGATCTGAAGATTGAAAAGTTACACAAATAAAATAATCAGGTTTAAAAATATAATAAGTCAAATTTCTCATTGTTCTTTAAATCCAAAGATGTTTAAAAGGTTCTGTTTAAACTATTAATAAAATTCTAATTTCAGGGATCAGAATGATCAATGGTAAAAAATACAAATATATAGTTGACATTTTCATTTTAAGTTCTTAGAAAGATAACCTATTAATAGCTGTGCAGCCAGACCTCAACCTACATCAATAACAGCACTCTATCAGAAATGATCTGCCTGTCCATAAGCTGCTAGCTTATCAAATATTGAAGCCACATCCTGACATACTTCACTGCTTGTTTTACTTAGCCTTTGGCAGTATTCAGCTCCATTGGCTACTTCTTTATATAAGTGCTCTTTTCTATTTCCCTGTGATACAAGAATATGTTTTTTCTTTTCTTTTTTTAAAATTTTAATTTCTTTCTTCACCAGTTTCTTCTTTTTGCTACTTTTCTGGCCACCCTTTCTCAGTCTGTAGAGCTCCTTCTGTACTGGAGGATCCCTCAAGGCTCCACCTTTGCTTTTCCTTAGATGATCTCATCCATTTGCAAAGCTTCAATTATGATCCATACATCAATTTTATTTTATTTTATTTCTAACTTAGAACTCTCCTCTGAATGCTAAGTATATCCAGTTGCCCACTAGGATGTCTGGAAGGCAACTTCAAAATTTAATTATCACTGCCCTATTCCAACTTGTCACATGTTTCCTATTTCATTAGACAGTCTCACCAACCACACAGTTGACTTAATATAGGAGCCAGGGAGTCATCCATAATTCCTTCCTTTTCCCTATCCCTGCACCTACTGTAGCAAAAACTATTTCTTCTACCCCGAAATTTTTGCAACCATCTATTACTTATAGTTACAACTATTTTTTACTGACTTCTAAAAAAACCTCCTGGTCTCACAGCTGAACAACATTTAACATAGAAAATTTGATTTGACCTTATCAAAAACAAAAACCAAAACAAAGCTGTCTTAGTCACTTTCTTGTTGCTGGGACACAATACCTGACACCTGCAACTTAAAGATTGAGAGGTTTATTTTGGCTTATGGTTTCAGAAGTTTTAGTCCATAGTCAGCAGGCTCAAATGCAGAAACAGCATGGTGGAAGGGCCTACCTCAGAGAAAAGCTGCTTACGCATGGTAGCCAGGAAGCAGAGAAAGAAGCGAGGAGCCAGGAAGGCAGATATACTCTTCCAGGTCAGGTCCCCAGTGACTGCCTCTTCTGACTAGGCCCTACCTCAACAGCACACTCAGGGTCTGACCTCATCTATGGATTAATCTGTGGGTGAGTACAGCGTCCCCATGACCCAATCACCTTCCAAAAGCCCCACCTTTGGACACATGAGGCCTTTAGGGGACAGGCTAGCTTTAAACCATAATAAAAGCAAAAAAACAAAAAAAAACTTTAGAAAAATAGAAGAAAAGAAAAAATTCTTAATACTGATTGCTGGTAGATATAGAAAAGAGGCTAGAAAGATTTACCCAAATTAATATAAAATTTTGAATAGGACATGATTAAAGACTTTATATGATATAGACAGTTGACATAAATGCATACTTTCTTGGACATAGTCTACTAGTCATTCACCAGTAAGTTTAGCTAACAGTAATCTCCTAGACACTTTTTCAATATTTTACTCATAAGGATACCATAGAACGATATCATCCTTATACATAAGGATATCAATGATTAAGATCTGTAAGCAACTACTTTCTTGAAATTGAGATTTTTATTGTCTTCTGTATTACTTTGACACATTAATTAATCAACAAATTACATAATATACAAATCAGCTAGTTATAAAAATTATTTTAAGAGAACCAGCATGCATTCTCATTTCTAATTTGTCGAATAATAATGATTTTTTTTTTTTGGTATGGGGATTGAACTTGGGACCTTGCGCTTGTGAGGCAGGCACTGGAACCACTGAGCTAAAGCCCAGGCCCAAATAATAATGATTTAATAATAATGATTTGTGGGCAATCAATTTTACCAAGAAGTGTTTTTGGAAAGAGTTCTTTTTACATTGAATCCTCATAAAATAAATAATCTCTCTTCAAATTTAATTTTTTATCTTGGTTTTCTCTTAAGTGATAGAAATCTCTTACCGAAAACCTTTGTCAGAATAAGATAGTGATAAATTTAGATTCAGTGTTTGAAATGAGCATCAAGAGTTACATTTTGGCCTGGGATTTAGCTCAGTGGTGCCACCGCCTGCCTGGAAAGCTCAAGGTCCTGAGTTCGATCCCCTGTACCAAAACAAACACAAACAAACAAACCATAAAACCCCAAACAAACAAAACAAAATAGTTACATTCTGATGTTCACTCACAACTTCGACAATTTGTATCGAGTACTTATTACATGCCAGGCATGGTCCTAGGTGAATAAGATACAAAGTTCTTGCTTCCATGCAACTTGCATTCTCATGAAATTCTGCTGATTCCAAAATTTGAGGTTTATGTAAAGAACTTTAGGAGAACCATAAAGTGTATGGTCTTTTCTAAATATAGATGTTTGAATACTTGCAAATATTCATCAGTGTAGAAATTCAATTTGTGATCATGCGTGGAAAAATTCCTAATTCCTGCTTAAAGACAAGTGTGGAAAGAGCTTTATGAGGCTGTCATTTGCTACTGGGTCTGACACCTTTGTGCCTCAGTTTTTCATATGTATAATGGAGTTAAGAAACCAAGGTGGCAGCACTATGGATTAAGAAAATGTTGTGGATGCCTCCAGTGAAGTGTCTGGTTCGAGGGTAGCCCCTAATAAGCATGAGTTGACTCAAACTTTGTGAAAAGAAGGCGATTTGTGAACATGTTAAGGATCGAGCCAGCAACTCAGCATCACTAAAATGAACTGAGAGGCCACCCATGCTCCTTTTTGCTTCACCCCTCCGCACTACGGGAGTTATTGACAGCAGAAAATTTCTTTCGGTAGAGTATAGACGAGGGAAAGCAGCTTGGGCAGCTTTTGCCAGGACCTGGCCCCCGGATGGAGTGCAAGTGGAGATGGGCTGTTTTGGTCACTCACGGCTGCAACAGGCTGTCCCGATAACGGCGGCGCTGGCAGGGCAGGGCCCGGGGCCGGCTGGTGTAGGTGTAGGTGGCCATGGCTGGAGGGCTGCAGTTCGGGAGGCAGGGTCCGGGGTCAGATTGCCTAGCTTGCGCTGGAGCTTGGCTTTCGACCAGGTGGGCACTAAGAAGTCGTGGGAGGCGGAGAGATGTCAAATAATGCCAAGGGCAAGGATTTAGTGAGGCGAGGAGAAGCGGCACGCAGTGAGACTGGCGGGAAGGGAGGCTGTCAGCGCTGCAGGTGGGAACTATACTCAACTTGCTCCTGCAAGAGCAGAACCAGCTGGCAGCGCCCGCACCGGTTGCCCAGCAACCGGAATTCCTTCTGGGGTCGGGACCTCCAGGCAGTTCCGGGGGCAGGGACTTCCGGCTCGTGACCCCGCCCATCTGTTCCTCTCCCTCTGGCACCCCTGCACCCCTGCATGCTGTGAGTTTTCTGGCCCGGAAGGCGGGTCTGGCTGTGTTGGTGGCTGCGTGTTCTTCGTCAATTTCAGCGGTTCCTCGCCACGTTTTGGATTGCGGCCTTGCGTGACTGGTATCAGCGTCATTCCGTTTCAGCTCCTGCCGTTTCAGGGGGCGTCCTCCCCTGTTGTCTTCCCACGGTACCTCGGCGCTCTCGGCTGCCCCAATGTTGACGCCCTGGGAGCCAGGCTTCTGGCTCTGTTACGTGCGGGAGGGGAAAAGGTTTCCTTGTGTCTTCCAGGGCCACCAGACCTGGCCCCTTGGGCAGACCATCGCGCGCTTCTACAGTCTTTTCTGCATTCCCCCACCGCCTTCTGTGCTCGCCGCTCTGTGTCAGGGCATCAGAGGACCCTGGGGCGCACGGAGCGACAAGGGCTACCCTACAGGCATAACTTTGGGAAAGGAGTGGGCAGTCTGTTGAGACTATGGAGAGAAAGACATAGTTTCCCTAAGCCTTAATCCATCAGACCCCATGCTCCGAAGAATGGAGTGTCTTGGAGTGGATCTGAGTCTAGAAACGAAGGTTCTTTGGGGTTAGTACTTGAGATCTTGCACCTTGTTGGGAAATGAAGCATATGTATCCCTTGTGATCCTTGTTTGCATTTGCAATTCAACCTTCAATTCAGCTAAGTGTTGTCTTGGTTTGAATCCAGGTTCTGGAGTGTACCCACCCTGTAACACAGCCGAGTTAATGTGTCTGTGTGTATGTGTGCGCTTGTAGGCATTTCATTTTCCGAATCTGCAAAAACAGGTAATAGAATTTATCTCAGTATTTGTTGTGAAGATTAAAGGCGTTAATAAAGGTAGAGTACTTAGAACCTTACCTGGTAAATGTCAACCTTTATATTACTGTCTCCTAAACCCCTTCTTTGATTTATGGTCTAAAGCAGATATTAGCATTGTGTAACACTAGCAAAAAGGTGTATGGTAAATGCTAGAGGGAAAAACATTGCCAGATTTTAGTGCTGGTCATTTAATTTTTCAGTAAATTTTGAAACATCTGGAGAAGAAAGTGACATTTAAATAACTGATGAGTGATGATACTTTCACCAGCAAAGATTTTATCCAAAGTGCATTCAGAATGGCTCAAAGGCTGAAAAGCGCAAGATATACTTGGAGAACTCTTAAGTAGGATGTATGTAAATGAATTGTAGGCATACCGTAGAAAGAAAAGTTGGAAACATTGAACTTGAGTTTATCAGAGTGTTTTTACCGTCATGGAATGGAAGACCAATTCCAAGCAGTGGAAACAAGATATTCATTATTTTGCTTAAGTTCAGAGATAGAATGCCTCTATTGGTAACTTGGGGGCTCAGCACACTATCAATAACATTTTCCCCCACCTCTCCACTCTGTCACCTAGGTCTTTGTTATCAGCAAGATAGTAATAGGAGTATATAGAATAGAAGACAGAATAGAAAATCTTTTGACTTTTGAAAGTGTGGAAACCTTGCCTGTAAGCTACCAAGTGATTGGAGTTACAACATGTCATTAAGTTGGGGAACGATATAGGACTACATTTGGATTAGATGTGCCCCTTAGGTTTTAGAAGCTCCTTGAACCAATTGGTCAGGGGAATAGAGAAACAGATTAGGAGAATGTTGGGACAGAGAGAAATGGGTGTTGATTGGGCAATCAATAGTGCTATCCAGCCACTGCTGGAATTTTTGAAGAATTTGATGTGTTCTTGTATAAGTTTTTATCTAACCTATTTCTCTTTTTATTCTACTCCCTCCTTATGATAGCAAAATATTTATCTCTAGCCTAGGCTTCTCCATCAGGTGACATTTCTTGATGCCTGTGCTCTGGACACTTGCCTTGCATTGACTAAAACTGAATGATTTGGTCAGCAAATAGTTTTGAGTACTAAGTGTCAAGTACTGCCTATCACAAACCCCCAATGCTACTATGGATATAGCAGTGAAAAAAAAGAAAGAAAGAAAGAAGAAAGAAAGAACAAATTAAAATTCCTGCCTTCAGAGAATTAATATGCTAGTAGAGGAGTAATAAAAAATAATAAAAACAAGTTAAGTGTAAAGACATGTATATTAGAGAGTTAAGAGGCATGGAGAAAAAGGAGGGAAGAAGTCTAGGTCTCAGAGGTAGAAAGGATCCTAGAGATTTTAGGCTGGTCAGGGAAGGATTCATTGAGACAGTGGCATTCCAGTAAAGATATGAAGGAAGTACGGGAATGAAACTTGAGCTTGTTTGGCAGAACTGTTATTGGTCAGCTTTTCTGTTGCTGGGACCCAATACTGGACATCCACAACTTCAGGCAGGAGAGGTTTAATTTGGCTCATGGTTTCAGGGGATTCAGTTCAAGGTTGGCTGGCTCTTAAGGCAGGAACATCATGGCAAAGCTGCTGTATCAGTGCTTACTAGAGAAATAGATTTAATGCAAGATAATCAAATATATAAGAATTTACAAGATTGGCTTACAATGGCCACCCACAGAGTCAGATGTGGAAGAGTGCAAAAGGTTTGTCTATGTGCTAGAGATCCAAAAGATCTAGTTGAACCCCTGGAGCCCACTATGTGAGTCCATATCAGGAGGCTGAAGGGCCTATGCTGGAGGCAAAAGAGTCTGTGCTGAAAGCCAAAGAGTCTGTGCTGAAAGCCTGAAGAGTCTGCACTGGAAGTCAGAAGATGATGTCTAAGGTGAAGATGAAAACTGGTACCCATCCAAAGAAACAGAAACAAGCCTTCTTTCTTCATTTCCCTTTTATAACATTCTGGAGACAGTCCTTCCTAGGGTGGATCTCCTACACCCAGAACTATGCTGATCCAGTTTAGTCTGGCATTTCTTATTCAAGTTGGCACAATCAGTTAACTATCACAGCTGTTCAGTTCATGATGGTGGGAAGCAGAATAGAGAAACAGTGCCAGAGAGAAAGGGTCAGGGACCATATATGGTACCCAATATCATGCTTCCATAACCACTGAGACACACTCAGAAGTGTGCTTTACTAATTCTCTGGGGGTTTCTGAATCTAATCAAGTTGACATATCACAATAACTGGTTACAAGAGCATTCCATTTCAAGGAAGCAGCACATACAAAGTTGACACCAGGAATATTTGAGGACAACAATAAAGAGGTGAGAGTGGGTGGAGCAGCATAAGCAAAGGGGAGAGTGTTAGGAGATGAAGTCAGTGACCAGATTATTGTGCCTTGTTGGATGTCAGTTCAAAGACTTTAGCATTTCTTCCAGAGTTAAAAGCCCCTAGAGGGTTGGGTAAGAAACTTGATATAATTTGATTATTAACCTCCTTTTTCCCCTCTACTTTTAGTTTGAGAATAGGCTGAAGGGGAGCAAAGATATAATTAGGGAGACAAGAAAGGAGCCTTTACCCAGTAAACCTGGTTGAGAAGTTGGCTGAGACTAGTGAGCAGATGGATGTACTGAAAAGTGGTTATAGATACTGGATCTATGCTGAAGGTAGAACCAGATGGATTGGATATGGGCGCAAGAGGAAGAGCCAAAGATGACGATAGATATTTGATTAAATATTGGATATTTTTTGGAAGAAGTTGCACAGAAGCTCTAGTTGATTTCTCCAGAGAGGATTTACTTTTATTCTGGCAAGCAGTTGGAGTAGTAGCAGATGCCCTCTAAGCAAGGATTCAGAACTTGTGAGAACTGATCCTCTTCTGGTTTTCGCTTATCCCAGAGCGTAGCTATCTTAGTTACTTTCTTGTCCCTGGGACAAAACACCTGACACCCACAAGTTAAAGGAGAAAAGATTTATTTTAGCTCACGGTTCATAAAGGTTTAAGTAGTTGGCTGGCTCCATGGGAAGGTGGGATGGCAGAAGAGAAACAGTCCATGGCACGGCAGACAGGAAGCAGAGAAGCTGAAGCCTCCTTTTCCCTTTTATTCCATTCAGGTTATAAGCCTGTTGGTTGGTGCCACCCACATCCAGGTGGAGCTTCTGTCCTTAGTAGATCCATTCAATCAAACCCAGAACTATGCTAAATCAATTAGTGGACTAAGCCAGTACCACACACACCTAGTCCAAGTGTCATATACCCATGATCCAGCCACCTCCCAAAAGCCACACCTATGAGCTCATGGGGCTTTGGGGGAACATGTAGATATAATCTATAAAAAGAGGTCTTTCTGTTTTTTCTCAACAAGGTTAAACTTGAACTGCATTTTTTGTATTCCCAGCTCTTTGAGATTATTAAAAGGTTTACTGAGCTTTTTATCCACTTAGCAACTGCTTAGTTTCTTGTTTGCTAGTGCCTTTCTGTTCTAGAAATCAACAAAATCTCCAAGATTAAGAGCCAAGCAAGTGTCAGGCAGTCTTCTCTGTACTCTCCTGGTCTCTGGGGTCTTGTCTCTTCAAGTCCTTGATGTAGTTTTCAACTCCAAATTTTATCTTCCCAGGTCTAAAAGGCTTCTGACACCTCTTAAATTGCTGTTTCCCATTTGCCCTAAATACCCTGTGCAGAAACTCAGCAAATTACCCAGGAAACAAAGCAATGGGAAAACTCCACACCACTTTATATATTTCTCTCCTACCTGGGATCCCAGATCCTCACACCCTGACCGTATTGATTGCTCTCCAGTGCCTTCAAATAACCTGGGTGGTTTTTGGTGGCTTTTGTTTTGTTTGTATAGATTTTCCTTTGGGAAGGTTGGTCTGACTAAGCTACTCAGTCATAGGTAGAGTCCACCCCAAGGTTGTTGAACAGAGTAACTGGATGAATGAGTTGCCATTTACTGATACAGGAAACACTGGAGAGGAATGGGCTTTGGGGTAAGCTCTGGAAGCTCAGTTTTGGAAACTGAGTTTCTTAAACTTAAGAGACACTTTAGTCATCCAAGTGGATGCAGTTGAGTAGACAGTTCAAAATAGAAGTCTGGAGATTCAGGGGATTCAGCCAGGACAGAGATAAGTTTTGACTCAATTGCATGTAGATGGTATTCTTTTTGTTTTTTGTTTTTGGTACCGGGGATCGAACTTGGGACCTTGCGCTTGTGAGGCAGGCACCGGAACCATTGAACTAAATCCCCAGCCCATGTAGATGGTGTTTTAAGCCATGAGATCTGAGAGATTATCAAGGGAGTATAGAAAGAATAGAGATGAACACTTGAGTTACTCCAGTACTTACAGATCAGGAAGGTGAGGAGACTGAAAAGGAGTGGCCAAAGAGAAA